GAGGACAGGAAAGGGGGCTTCCTGGACCCCCAAGGGAAGCAGTGCTGCTCAGGAGAGTTCACACCGGCGCCGCCCCGCCCGAGCCGGCGAGTCTGAGAGACTATTCCTGCAAGGCTGGCTCCTGGCTGACCCCTGGGCACTTGAAATTTGAGAGGGTTCCCACCATTCTCGCAATCCAAGACCCCTCGGGGGATGTTGGACTCCGGTTTCGGCCCGATCCCCACAGGCCAGACCAAGGGACCCCACTAGTGCACAAATCTGTGCACTGGGCCTCTAGTATGCATATAAGATCTTTGGTTAATCTCTTCCCACCCTCCCCCTTCCCTCTGAGATTCATCAGTCTGTTCCATGTTTCCATGCCTGTGTGTTCAGTGTCTGCCTCCTGGTGGTCAGTGCACATCATAGCTACCAGTTAAACAGTTGTTTAGGCTTTTATATACATACTAGAGGCCTGTTGCAGGAAGATTCCTGTAAGAATAGGACTTCCTCGGGCCTATTCCTGCAAGAACAGGGCTTCCTGAGGCCAGAGTGAAGCAGAGAAGGGGCTTTGCTCCCTTCTCCGCTGCCTTGCTCCCTCCCATCTCTGCTGCCTCACTTCCTCCCGTGTCCACCACTTCGCTCCCTCTTGTCTCTGCCACTTTGTTCCCTTCTGTCTCCGCTTCCTCCCTTCTCCGCCACTTCGTTCCCTCTTGTCTCCGTTGCCTTGCTCCCCCCCATCTCCGCTGCCTCGCTCCCTCCTGTCTCCACTGCCTCACTCCCTCCCATCTCTGCTGCCTCGCTTCCTCCCGTCTCCACTGCCTTACTCCCTCCCGTGTCCGCTGCCTCAGCTTCGTTCCCTTTTCTGCTGCTTCACTCCCTTCTGCAGCACTGGGCTTCCTTCTACGCTGTCTTCAGTCTTCGCTCTGTGCCTGTGTATGCAAATTAACCGCCATCTTTGTTGGGTTAATTTGCATATTGCCCTGATTGGCTGGTGGGCATAGCGGAGGGATGACCTGGCTGGTGGGCATAGCGGGGGGATGGGCAATTTGCATGTTTCTCTTTTATTTGTGTAGATAGATTCTCAGGTCATACAAAGTTATCAACTTAAAAATTAGCCTGCTATATTTGGTCAAATATTTAATTAACTAACCCCTAATGCCTTGGCAGGGCCAGACCAAATGATTTCATGAGCCTGCATGGCCCGCAGGCCAGAGGGTCCTCACCCCTGTTTAGATAGAGGCTGCCTATATGAGCAGCTCCCAATAAAATGCCTGGGCCCTGGCCCCTCCAATGAGTGTCCTGGTGACATCATTGCACATGTTGTCACAGCTCACTGCTGGCGGAATTAAGCACTTCCTGTGCGGCTCCACTGGGAGAGGACTCCGGAAGCCTGGCTTCATTTCCTCCAGGCTTTGCCCATGTGCCTTTTCCCTGCGTGGCCCTGCGTTGTGCCCTCCCCACGGCAGACAGTCCCGGCCAGGAGGACGACCATCCCGAGCCCTGTGAGTCCTAGTAAAGCAGTGGCGTGGGGTGGTCCTGGACACCCAAAACAGGCCTAGACAATGAGAGCAAGTCAACTTGCCTTTACAGATAAGGTCAAACCAGAGCTTCAAAATTCTGTTGGATAACTGGAGCTCTGGGTGCTAATGACAACGTGTGCATGTGGCCTGGGGCTCCCAAACCCAGCAGGAAACAGTCGCACGGAGAGTTTTCCGGGCCCACCAGACTTCCGCCAGGGGGTTGGGCCTTTATTTCTCAGACGACTTGACTTGTGGACCTGCCATGTTCAGAGCAGAATGTCCCCAGCCTCCTGGCTGAGCAGCTGGTCACGGGCATGAATCACTGCAAAGCAGCATCCTGTCCTCTTCCCAGCACACGCCCACCTCTCTCAGCTGTCAATTGATCCGTTCCCAGCTGCTGTCCACCCACAAGGCTACAAGGTTCCATGTGCCATGTCTCTATAGCCAGGGTATACACAAAAACATCCTGGAGAAAGATGTTTTGAACACATTAACTTTAAAAGTGCACAAAAAAGTGCTCTGTAGACAATAAAGTGCTTACAGAGGTAGTGTATTATTAGGCTTAAAAGGCAGGTGTGAGGCCATAAAATACATAACACCTTTGATGTAATGCTCCCAGCAGTAAGGTATACCTCTAGACTCGCCCTCTAATTACAAGTCACATAAAGGCTGCAAACACATTTAATTTAGGTTTCAGGCTTCAGTTTTGTTGATCTTGAAAAGTAAACATAACCTCCCTGTTAACAAGAAACAACTTCATCTGCAAGAACCGACCACGGCCCACCCCACCACACCTCAGAATGCCCCGCCTTACACCCCCGGACCCCCTCCTTGGGCCCTTCCCTTCATCACACGTGTGCACATCCGCCTCCACACGAAGCCTGTCTGTACTTACTTCACCCCCTGAGCGTCAGGGGGGTCTCAGACCTCAACAGGATCTTTGAAATTCTGTCGGACAGAAGTTCTGACGCACACGGCCCTGGGCCGGGGGTCCCACGCGCGGCGGGATGAGAGAGCCCTCTGGGGAGCTTTCCAGGTCCCACCCAGACCGCCTGAATCACGAGTTCTACCAACAGAGTCTGGGCCTTTTCCTCTCAGGACTTCCTGAAGCGCATGCCTGCAGACGCACAGGGGCTCCATTTTGGATAGTATGTCCTGTGGCAGACTGACTGGAGGGTCTGACAAAAGACCTTCAGGAACTGAAGGGTAAGGGAGGAGAATCCATCATCGACATGAGGACAGTTCTCCTGAGCAGCACAAGGGTTAGGAGGGTGGAACCACAGAGAAGAAAATACAATCTAGCATATCACTTGGCTCTGCAGTGGGTGGCTGCAAAATCTAAAATGGGCTTCCACTTTATAACCAACTATCGACAAAGGAGAAAAGGCTTCATTGCAGTTAGATAAGCTCACACACATCACCAACCTTGGCAACACAGAGGTACAGGTATAAGAGCTGGAAGTAGGTGGGCAGGGGAGACGGGGCGGGGCAGGGGGAGATCCAGGGATATGATTTAGAGTTGACAGCACAGAGAAACAGAGGTTTAAGCATATCATTTAAAGCCACAATGGGCCCTAGCCAGTTTGGCTCAGTGGGCAGAACATCAGCCTAGGGACTAAAGGTCCCGGGATTGATTCCGGTCAAGCGCACGTACTCGGTTGCAGGCTCGATTGCCAGCCCTGGTCAGGGTACGTGCGGGAGGCAACCAATCAATGTGTCTCTCCCACATTGATGTTTCTCTCTCTGTGTCTCTCCCCCTCCTCTCCACTCTAAAAAAAATTGATGGGAAAATATCCTTGGGTGAGGATTAACAACAACAAAAAGCCACAACGGTACACAGTAAAATTACTAAATAGCAATTTGATACAAGTAAGTTGGAAAGCAGAGAGGCAAGGTGACTTGCTCAAAGTGAGCTCATTAGAAAGTTCTGAGGCCAGTGCCCTCACACGGCCTCACACTCCAGACCCAAGTTCTTTACCAGAATCTGGAGGAAGTCATGTGTCCAAGACTACACACCTGGTTACGGGCAGAGCCAGAAAAAGAAACCAGTTCTCCAGATTTAACATTATTTGATAAAGTCATTACTACAATTTTCAGGAAAGACCATTTTGAAAATGTCCCTACCTGCTCATTCTTTCAACGTACACCAGACATTTCTTAAAAAGAACCCCTCACCTAGACACACTGCCCACCTCTAACCAGCGCCGGGCCTGCTCGCCAGCTCCACACCATGTGGCAGAGGAGGCTGCCTCTCCTGCTCGCGGCTGTAGGGACGTCAGCCCACTAGCCAGTGTCATTCAAAATCCGACAGAAAGCTCAAGGCAGCCACACTGAAGACACAAAGCCCGCTGCCTGCTCGCCTCTCAGCCCAGATACTGAGCCACCAGGCAGGGGCCAGGCCACTGCCCCACGCACACAAGCGAGAGCTGCTGTTCCCGACACGCGTGGAGGGCACTGCTCCGCTCGAGGTGACCCAGCGCACAGACCAGGCTTGGAGAGGTGAGACCACTCAGTGACTGCCTCTTTATACTTCATAAAAAGTTGTGAAATATTCAACAGAAATAATTTCTACTAAAATAATAATTCTTTAAAAAGAAAATATAACCAAAATGAATTAGTACTTGTAAAAAGCATTAAAAAAATTTCAATACAATTCACTGTTGCTCACCCCATTCTCAGCACGCTTCTCTCCAGGCACGTTTATTACATTCCTCTGGGTTCTCTGCTCTTGGGTCTGACGGCCACCTAGAGAAATGAGAGGACCAAACTTACTAAAAATATACTAGAAAAACCATGTTCTCTTTTTAAGGACAATTAAAAAATATTTTTATTGATTCCAGAGAGGAAAGGAGAGGGAGAGAGAGAGAGAGAAACTCCAATGATGAGAGAGAATCGTTGACTGGCTGCCTCCTGCACGCTCCCCACTGGGGATGGAGCCCGCAACCCAGGCCTGTGCCCTAACTGGGAACTGAACTGTAACCTCCTGGTTCATAGGTCGATGCTCAGCCACTGAGCCATGCCGGCTGGGCCCCAGTGCTGCTCTCAATCCACCATAAGCCATGTGTCCTGTAGAGGAGGAAACAGGCACAGGGAAGTGAAGCCACTTGCCCAAGTCCACACCCTGGAAGTAGCACAGCCGGCGGAGCCCAGGTGGCTTCGACTCTACCACCATAATGCCACTCCCCACGCACTACGCCAGTGATGGCGAACCTTTTGAGCTCAGCGTGTCAGCATTTTGAAAATCCTAACTTAACTCTGGTGCCGTGTCACATAGAAATTTTTTGATATTTGCAACCATAGTGAAACAAAGACTTATATTTTTGATATTTATTTTATATATTTAAATGCCATTTAACAAAGAAAAATCAACCAAAAAAATGAGTTCGCGTGTCAGAGGTGTCAGAGGTTTGCCATCACTGCACTAGGCCGTGCCCTGCACATGACCTTTGTCAGTCACTTTACACGCCAGGCTTCGGTTTCCCGAGTGTGAAAGGTGACTCAAGCACATGTCCTCTGTGCTGTCCTCTAGCTGCCATATAGAGGGCTCTCACCCTGCTAGGTAGGGGTATCTCTTACTTACACTCAAATACCATCCCTTTTAAATAATGTCCATCGGTGATGACCGCCTGTCCCTCAGCTCTGGGGGAAGCACAGAGGAAACATGAGTCTTGGACCCTCAATTCTGGCTGCTCAGAGCATAAGCTGGAGAAGTCCAGTGAACAGAACAAAACAGGGAGCAGATGCCTGTGAGCTGTTCTGCCAATTTCTCGAGTTAACAGACAGACAGCACAAGCATGAGCACAGGCAGGAGCAGGCAGAGGGCAGAGCACCACAGCTGGGGATGGTATTCTGAGTCAGGGCACCAGAGAGGATGACTATGAAGGGAGGAAGCGGCAGAGGAGGCAGAGGGGACAATGACCACCTCACACCTGTCGGAATGGCTATCATCAATCACTCAACAGACTTGCGTGCTGGTGGGGATGTGGAGCAAAGGGAACCCCCGTGCACTGCTGGCAGGATTGCACTGGGGCAGCCACTATGGAAAACAGTATGGAGGTGCCTTAAAAAATTAAAAATAGAGCTACCTTTCAACCCAGCAATTCTACCTCTGGGTGTTTATCCAAAGAACTCTAAAACACTAATTCAAAAGAATATGGGCTCCTCTTTGTTCACTGCAGCTTTATTTACAATAGCCAAGCTATGGAAGCAACCCTTGGGTGAATAAAGTGAATAAAGAAGATGTGGTACATATATTCAGTGGAATATTACTCAGCCATAAAAAAGAATAAAATCTTATCATTTGCAACAACACGAATGGACCTTGAGGGTAATATTCTAAGTGAAATAAGTCCGACAGAGAAAAACAAATACCATATGATTTTTAAAAAATATATATTTTGTATTTATTTCAGAGGAAGGGAGAGATAGAAACATCAATGATGAGAGAGAATCACTGATGGGCTGCCTCCTGCATGCCCCCAAATGGTAAGTGAGCCTGCAACCCGGGCATGAGCCCCTGACTGGAATTGAACCCGGACTCTTTCAGTCTGCAGGCCAACTAGCCCCTGAGCCAAACCGGCTAGGGCAATACCATATGATTTCACTGATATGTGAAATCTAAAGAACAAAACAAACAAACAAACAGAAACAGACTCTTAGACACAGAGCACAATCTGAGGGCTGCCAGATGGGAGGGGGGTTGGGGTCTGGGTGAAAAAGGTGAAGGGATTAGAAGTACAAACTGCCAGTTACGAAACAGTCATAGCACAGGGAATGCAGTCAGTAAGGTTGTAATAACTAGGTGTGATACCAGGTGGGCACTAGAATTATTGAGGATCACTTTGTAAACTACATACTTTCCTTACGGCTGTAGACAGCTCTCTTAAGTATCCCTAACACTTCTAAACGTCATAAAGTGAGAAATGAGACCTTCCCCCTTACCTCACCAGCACGGGACATGAAGCGTTATGCACACATATTGTGGTGATAAGAGTGAAAAGTAAAGCTGCTTGTGCAGAGCTAAGGGAGGGAGGGCATTCGTATGTGGAGGGCTCGGGTAGAGGGTGCGCATGAATTCTGATCCCGAGAGCACTGCTGTGGGACTGCACGGAGCTAGCAAATCCCTGCGGGAGGGGCTCTGGTCTGAGGCAGAAGGGGATGAAGAGCTAGACCTGCAGCCTTGGTCTCCTGACCCCGGATGCCCAGCAGCCAGTGGAGTGAAACCCACGAGAGATGGTGCCCTGTAAACCAGCTGTGAAAGGGGCTCTTAGAGAGTGTGCACCTGAGGGCACAATGTCCTGTCACGTAAACCACAAATAAAGAGGAATAACTCACATAAAGAAATCTCTTTACAGAAGGATATCTTTTTGCTGTTGATTTTTTAAAACAGCAGAAGTAATCCACAATCACTGTCAAATAACAAGTTAAGGGTCTCTTCACTGTACAGTTTATATCAGCAGTTCTCAACCTGTGGGTCTCGACCCCTTTGGGGGTTGAACGACCCTTTCACAAGGGTCGCCTAAGACCATCGGAAAACATATATATAATTACATATTGTTTTTGTGATGAATCACTATGCTTTAATTATGTGCAATTTGTAACAATGAAAATACATCCTGCATATCAGATATTTACATGACGATTCATAACAGTAGCAAAATTACAGTTATGAAGTAGCAACGAAAATAATTTTATGGTCGGGGGTCACCACAGCCTGAGGAACTGTATTAAAGGGCCGCGGCATTAGGAAGGTTGAGAACCACTGGTTTATATGCTTTCAGAAAAAAACATTCCCCTTTTTTGGTTAAATTTTAATTCTAAAAGAGGTAGTATATTCCCAAAGTTCAAAATGCAAAAGGAACAAACAGGCAAACAATAAACAATCCCCAGCTTCCTTTTTGTTCTGTTTTGTTTTTTTTAATATATTTTATTGATTTTTTACAGAGAGGAAGGGAGAGAGATAGAGAGTTAGAAACATCGATTAGCTGCCTCCTGCACATCTCCCACTGGGGATGTGCCCGCAACCCAGGTACATGCCCTTGACCGGAATCGAACTTGGGACCTTTCAGTCCGCAGGCCGACGCTCTATCCACTGAGCCAAACCAGTTTCGGCACCCAGCTTCCTTTTTGTAATCCTCACCCAAGGGTATGTTTTCACTGAGAGATAGAGAAACATCGATGTGAGAGAGAAAAATTGATCGGTTGCCTCCCGTACGCGCCCCGACGGGGGATCAAATCCACAACCTAAGTTTGCGCCCTGACCAGGAGGCAAACCCGCAAACTTTCGTGTATAGGATGGCACTCCGGCTAACGGAGCCGCCTGGCGGGCGCTGCCAGTTTCTCAGTGCCCTTCCAGACACTCAGACGCACCAGCCAGTGTGGGACAGGACGCTGCCTGTCAGACAGAGGTCCCACGTGCATACTGTTCCCACGGTGCTCAGCCTCGTGGTGCGTCCAGGACCGGGGTCGGGGCACAGGGCTTGTAGTCACGGCTGTGAGCAGCCCGCGGCTGGATGCAGCACGATTTTCAGCCCAAGGCCCCCGTGGGCATGTAGGCTGTTCCTATCGGTGGTGCCCCATGAGTGACCATGCATCCACCATCCTGTACGTGTGTAGCACAGCTTTAGGGAGAGTTCTCAAAAGTGAGATCGCTGGGTGAAAGGGTTTGTGCTTCTGTAAGCGGAACAGATATGCCCAAACTGCCCTCTGCAAAAGCTGTCGCCTGGCACTCCCACGGACACATGGCGTGCCTGTTCCCAGCGTCCTCCCAACACTGTTACTAAGTGTCCCATCTTCACCAGTGGGACAGTTCTTCTGTCAGGATGTGGCTGGGCGTCTTGTCACATCCCAGGGCCACGATACTCTCTCTCCTGAGAACTGCATGTTTGTATGTATCGCTCATTTTTTTAAACTGGGTTTTACTTTATTTCATTTTTTGTATCGATTTGTAGGAACTCCTTATATGTAAAAGAAACCAGCCCTTTGCTAATGAGCTACATAAATGCTGTTCCCCAGTTTATAATTTGTCTTTTGAAATTGCTTAAGGTGGTTATTGCCAAACAGACAGTTTTTGCTTTTTCAGTAATTCAGTTTGTCTTTTCTTTTTTGGTTTATTGCTACACTTAGAAAGGTCCTGTCCACTTGAAAAATAAAACATATTTCTCAGCATTTTTCTAATCCTTTCATGGCTTTATTTACTCTTAAACCCTAGATATTTGATCCATCTGGTATCTATCAAAAGCAATTCCTTTGAACAGCATGTCTGAGTGCATTCCTGGGCGATGGTCCTGAGAGGGAGCCAGGGCGAGGCGCCTGGACTGTGAAATAACTCAACTGCAAGAACAGAGGTCAGAGGAGTGTGAGACACCAACTCTCCCTCTCACACTGTGAGTGAAGGGCAACACAGCATAGTAATTTATTTTAAAATTTTTAAATTAAATTTTATGGCAAAATTTAACAAAGGGAGGGAAAGCACTCATTTACCTTGTTCACTGCTCTCGGTCGGGGAATCCTCATGTCGAAGGAAAAATTTCACTTCTTCCCTCCGCGGCCCCCATTTCTGAAGATGTTCATACATCATGTGATCAAAGGGTATGGGGCGTTCTGGAAAAAACACATCTCATTTATCTCAGAAACAAACAACGTAATTCCTACCCAAAGCAAACAATAAAGATAAATTTAAATAAATACACATATGAATTAGAATTCAAGACTATTACAAGCACTAAACTTTAACTTTAATGAAATAAAGCAGGAATATGAATGAACAATAATGTAGGTAACTAATAAGCACAAGAAGTAAACATAAAAGTAATTTTCCAACATTAAACAGGCAACACTGGGGAAAAATGCCCTTCACAATATTTGTCATGAAGCAGTATGCCTCCCCCTCTTCAAAGGAACATATCAAAAACCGGTGGGACCTTTTATTCATTAAAATGCTGCACGTGATGATGGGACGTACCCTGCCTCGCAATGCAGTGAGCCCACACAGCACTGCACACAGCTGCTCATGCAGCATTAGTCACAGGGGCCCCAAGCGGAAACAACCCAAACGGCCATTAACTGCTGGACGGGTGAATAAGATGTGGTCCATCAGACAGCGTGACCATCCAGCCGCACCAGGATTAGGTACTAACACAGGCTTCCAACGTGGATGCGCCTGGAGAACATTATTCTAAGTGTAAGCAGCCACACAGAAGAGGCCACACACTGTATGATCCCACTTCTACGAGGGCCTGGAGTGTCAAGTCCACAGAGCAGGGGGGCACACCGTGGCTGCTTGGCTCTGGAGGAGGAAGGGGTAGGGAGCTGCAGAGTTTGGTGATGGTTGCACAACACTGTGAACGTCCTAAAAACCACTCAACTGTACACTTTAAAATGGTGATTTTATATTATGTGAATTTAACTCAATTTAAAGGGGAAAAAAATGAAATCTTGAAATATTCCCACTATTGCTTTGCTTGACAGTTTGAGGAAGGATACTAGCAAGTCCCAAGGCTTGTAGAAATGGTGTGGGGAGAGAGAACAAAATGGAACAGTACTTTTCCTCCCTTCTGCTCAGTCTGAGGACCTGACTTTCAGGGAAGAGAAAGGACTTGGGGAGCGCACCCTCTCAAACAAGCAAGGGGTGATGCAGGGGCCCTCGATAAGTTCTAGGTTCCCACAGGAAGGACACCTGCCCCACTGGAACAGGGCGTCTGGCGGGACACACAAAGGTCTCCCTTGTGCTTAGAGGGGCGTCCTGAGTAGAGGGCTGGCTCTTAAAGGCACAAGAGGACGATTTTAAAAAAGAGAGAGATGAAAACCCTGTCACTCCTAGAGACATGACCACACTGCTGTGGCCTTGCGCCTCCTGCGTGTGCAGGCAGCTTCGCCTCCCTCGGCAGACTTGAGGGCAAGGACAGAAACGGTCGCGTCTCTGTTGATTAGCTCAAGTGCAACTCAGATTGGGTATCACAGCAAAAACGAGCACAAACTGAACAATAAAGAAGTAAAAATTATTCCGTAATTTAGTTTTGTAAGTAACACTCACGTACCTAGGCCTATAAAAATCTATTGTTTTCTCTTACGAATTAACAAAATTTATAGAAAAGATTAACTTCAAGAAAAGTCCACTAAGCATCACTCCCTTTATTTACATGAGAAGGTTCAGTGATTGCTTCAAAGTGGAAACACACTGCCCGACACCGTCCTGTGACACAGCGCATGCACCTCCTCAGGCGAGCCTCGGGTCCTTGGATAAGGCAGAGAAAACCAGGAGGCAATCCCACAAAAGGAAGCACGAAGGGTCACCTTCCCTCCTGTCTGCGTGCGTGCGAGGGGACACTGTGTGGGGAAGGGCCACAGAGCAGGGGAATAAACCGCAAGTTAACGACTGTCACGGGCTGAGCTGAGTTCTACGCTGACGTCCTAACCCCCGAGCCTCAGAACATGGTCTCATTGGGAGATAAGACCTTTGAAGAGGTAATAAGTTAGTGAAGCCATTAGGGTGGCCCTAATCCAATATGACTGGTGTCCTTATAAGAGAAGATCAGGACAGAGACACGGAGAAGGTGGCCATTGACAAGCCAAGGAGAGAGGCCTCAGGAGAAACCAAGCTGGCTGGCACCGTGCCTTAGACCTCTGGCCTCCTGAATCGAGAAAATAAGTTTCTGTTGGGTAAGCCACCAGGCTGTGGTACGTGTTATGGCAGCCCTGGCAAACGAATACGCAGGCCCACAGAGAACTATTTTCTTCCCAAAGGCATTGGCAACCACACTGAATGACATCTGTGACATAACGATCGCACTGGCATGCCGTGAGTCACAGATGCAGTGATTGTTACGCAGGGGTTCTCTGAAGCCCAAATATTACTTTAAAGGTTCCTCTAGAGCAGTGGTTCTCAACCTTCCTAATGCCACGACCCTTTAATACGGTTCCTCAGGCTGTGGTGACCCCCGACCATAAAATTATTTTCGTTGCTACTTCATAACTGTAATGTTGCTACTGTTATGAATCGTCATGTAAATATCTGATATGCAAGTTATATTTTCATTGTTACAAATGGAACATAATGAAAGCATCGTGATTAATCACAAAAACAATATGTAATTATATATGTGTTTTCCAATGGTATTAGGCGACCCCTGTGAAAAGGTCGTTCGACCCCCAAAGGGGTCACGACCCACAGGTTGAGAACTGCTGCTCTAGGGTAAGAGATTGAGACAGGCTGTTGGCTATAGAACTCCCCCTTCCTTTGCATCTCATCTACTTGGACACATCTCCTCAAGGCCCCGCGCTGCTGCTCCACTTCAGTCAGTGGCCTCAGTGTTTGCTAAGGGCCTGTTATGAGCACCAGGCGGGCGCTGGGGATACCATGGTGAAGAGACAACTTCCCACCTCCTGGGATTTAGTCTAATGAGCGCCACGAAGGCTACTTTGTCATGTTCCAATAAATCCTATGGTAGCACTGGAGCCCGGGGGAGGGACATTTAACACCCTCCAGGATTCAAGGAAGGGCCGAGAGGCAAAAAGTAGAGCTTAGCCAAGCAAAGCAGGGCAAGTGCCAGGGATTCTTCTAGACAACGGAAGAGCATGTGGAAGAGCCATGGCAAATACAGCACGCCGTGACCCTCTGCGCTCCGAGGTGACCGTCCTCATTGTGATGAGATAAAGTCACAGGTTATGATTTCAAATGGACTTGGGGACCAGGCCAATATCCCTGATGAACTCAGATGCAAAAATCCTCAACAAAAATATTAGCAATCCAAATTCAACAATACATTAAAAAGGTGACACATTATGATCAAGTGGGATTTATTCCAGGGATGCAAGGTTGTTTCCCACAAAAACAAAATGAAGGCCAAAAATCATATGATCACATCAATAAATGTGCAAAAAAAAAAGCAGCATTTGACAAAATTTAACATCCATTTATAATAAAAACTCTAAGCAAAATGGGAGTAAAGGGAACATACCTCAACAAACTAAAAGGCATACATGACATACCCAGAGGTAACATACTCAATGCTGAAAATCTGAAAGCGTTTTCTCTAAGATCAGGAACAAGACAAGGATGCACAATCTCACCACTTTTATTCAATATAGTATTACTGTAAGTCCTAGCCACGGCAATCAGATAAGAAATAAAAGGCATCCAAAGCGGAAAGGAAGAAGTAAAACTATCATTACTTGCAGATGACATGATACAATATATATATAGAATACCCTACAGATTCCACCAAAAAACTATTAGAAATAATAAACGAATGTAGTAAAGTTGCAGGATACAAAATTAATATTCAGAAATTGGTTGTATTTTTTATACATTAATAATGAACAATTAGAAAGAATTTTTTAAAAAATCCCATTTACAATTGCACCAAAACAATAAAATACCTAGGAATAAATCTAACCAGGGAGGTAAAGCAGCTATACTCTGGAAACTACAGTATATTAATGAAAGGAACCGAAGAAGACACAAATAAATGCAAGGATATATCATGCTCATGGACTGGAAAAAATATCATTAAAATGTCCATATGAGCCAAGGCAATCTACAGAGTCAATGCAATCCCTGCCAAAATACCAATGGCATTTTTCACATAACTAGAACAAACAATCCTAACTTTTATATAGAACCACAGAAGACCCCAAATAGCCAAAGAATACCGAGAAAGAACAAAGCTGGAGGTATCAAGCTACCTGTTATCATACCACATTACAAGGTTATAATAATCAAAACAGCATGACACTGGCACAAAAACAGACAAACAGATCAACGGAACAGAACAGGAGCTCAGAAACAGACCCATGCTTATCTGGTCGATTAATCTACGCTAACGGAAGCACTGGAGTAAAGTAAAGACAGTCTCATCATTAAATGGTGCTGGGAAAATTAGACAGATAAATGCAAAAAAATAAATGAAACTACACCGCTTTCTTACACCATATACAAACAAACTCGAAACGGATTAAAGACTCAAATGTAAGAGCTGAAATCATAAAACTCCTAGAAGCCATAGGCAGTAAACTCTTTGACATCACTCTCAGCAATATCTTTTTGGATACGTCTCCTCGGGAAAGACAACAAAAACAAAAATAAACAAAGAGGACTACAGCAAATTAAAAAAGCTTTTGCCCCATGAAGAAGACCCTCAACAAAACAAAAAGGCAACCTACTAAATGGGAGCAGACATTTACAAAGAATACATCTGATGAGGGGCTAATATCCAAAAGAGATAAAGAAGTCATACAACTCAAAAGAGCAAAGAGTATGATTAAAAAATGGGCATAAGACCTGGATAGACATGTCTCCAAACAGGACACACAGATGGCCAGACACATTAAGAGATGCTCAATGTCACTCATTAATCATCAGGGAAATGCAAATCAAAACTATGATGAGCTATTACCTCACCCGTCAGAATGGCTACCATCACAAAGACAACAAACAACAGGGCGATGAGAAAGTGGAGAAAAGGGAACCCTCATGCACTGTTGGCAGGAATACAAACTGTTACAGTCACTATGGAAAACAGTATGGAGGTTCCTCAAAAAACTAAAAATAGAACTACCATATGCCCAGCAATTCCACTTCTGGGTATTTACCTGAAGAAATCGAAAACACTGCTTTGAAAGGATACATGCGCCCTTATGTTCACTGCAGCATATTTACAACAGCCAAGATATGGAAGCAACCTAGGGGTGCATCGACAGACAAGTGGATAAAGATGACATGGTATGTATACACAAAAGAAAGAAATCCAACCATATGCGACAATATGGATGACCTAGAGAATATTATGCTAAGTGAAATCAGTCAGACAGAGAAAGACAAATACCACATGATTTCACTTATATGTAGAACCTAAAAACAAAATAAATGAAAAAACAAAAGAGAAACAAGCTCATAGATACAGAGGATAAACTGATGGTTGCCAGATTGGGGGTGGGGGGCTGAGGGGCTAGGTGATAAAGGTGAAGGGGATTAAGAAGAACAAGTTGCCAGTTATAGGATTAGACACAGGGGTGCAAAGTACAGCACAGGGAATATAGTCCACAGCATTGTAATAACCATGTATGGTGCCAGGTGGGTACTAGTCTTATGCTGATCACTTTATACAGTGTCTTATCACTGTGTTATACACTTAAAACTAATTAATTGTATGTTAACTATAACAAAAATAAAAAAAATGCTAACTTCAGCAGCACGTATACTAAAAGTGGAACAATACAGAGAAGATTAGCATAGTCCTTGTGCAAAGATAACAGGCCGATTCATGAAGCATTCCGTATTTTTTATTGCATATTTGAAAGTTGCTAAGAGAGTAGATCTTAAAAGTTCTCCTCTCCCCCAAAATATTCCATAACTGTGTATGGTGATGGATGTTAAGCAGACGTATGGTGGTGACCATTTTGCAATATATGCAAATATTGTATCATGTTGTACATCTGAAACTAATAATGTTGTCAATTATACCTGAATTTTAAAAATGTGGGGCAAAAAAATAAAGGACAATTTCACTGATTATCTCTAGGTGCCCTTTAAACACTTCCATTTGGATGCTCATCTCATTATCATCCTGAACTCAAAATGTCCCAGCTGAGCACTCTCCTATTTTCCAACACAGACCTCCCAACGGCCACCTCCTGCCGCAGATGAAGGGAGGCTGCCCTCTGCCCAGGCTGCGTGAGCTGGTCTAGTCTCCACCCTGCTGCCCACCATCTCTCAACAGTCTCAGGCGCACACACATTTTCTCTCCCCGATCCTTCGCACTGTGCCCCGCTTAGAATATCCCAGTCTATCTAAATCCAACCCTTCCTTTAAGAGTCCAAATTGTTTGGCAGAGTTTCCTGTATTCAGCAATCATATTACCTACACTGCCCAACTAGCGGACAAGGTCCTTCAACGTGGTACCAGTATTTATTTACTCGTCTCACTTTAATAAATACATATTTATGGAGGACCTACTATTATACACAGGAAACACAGTAATGATCTGCCTTCATGAGGTTATATTCGGTTAAAGTAGATGAAACACTTGACAGGTACCACACCAAACACTATAGGGCAGCAGTGGTATCAGGAAAGACTTCACAGAGCTGGACCACGGCCCTGCTTGCTTTGGTGTCTGCAGCAAGGGTCAAGTCACAGAACACCTTTGTATGAACAGCATTTGTAAGACCCATCCCCATGTAATACCATACTACCTGTATTCTAATCACCCAATTCCTGATTACTACAGAAAGCTGGAAACCAGAGCCATGCTGTGCGCTTGATGACCAGTGAGTCTGAGGGCCTCAGCCTCTGAGAGGCGCACACATACCATTTCCCCTCCACACCTCAGCCAAGTGGCAACTGCCTTCCCCAGGCTCCTTGCAAAACTCCACGACATCTCGACACGTCGTTTCTGGTGTCACAGGAACTTCGGTCAAAATCTGTTCATTGTTGCTCAAGAACACGGTTAGTATCATCTGTAAGAGAAAAGATGAAGTCAAAGCCACAACTTAGTCATTATCGTAAAGAGATTAATCAGTAAATGGAAAGCAACTCCCCA